GAGTGAATTCCAGACAATGAGGACTCGTGGACACAACAACACCTTGATGGGGACTGCTCCGCTGTGCGTATCCCTAGCTCTATAAACTCTAATCTAACTTCAGGACCCCATAGATGGACTTAAAGGGATGTCATGGGATCTCTCTGTCCCTCCTCCCAATGTGGCCACCTGGAATAACTCTCCCTCTTCTGCTTTTTAATATTAACTTGGCTGTTTTAACTGGACCCTCAAGGATGGATGATTGAACTTGACTTTTTGGGGTGCTGTGGCCTCAAGTTTGGTAACATTATGTTAGGATGGATACTATTTGGCAATTGCCTTTTGCCATATATTAAATTTCTTTTAGTATCAGAGCCTCATTGTTTTCTCAGTTGTAAGATGTTCCATTGTGTCTATGAAAAATCACTTATTTAATGAGCTCACTGATGATATTTGGAATCTGATCCCCTCTTTCCCAGTCTTTCCATTATATAGGCATTACTTCAGTGGATACCTTTGGACATATATTTGTTTACTCATGTGTTCTATGAACACAGGAGGCATTTCTAGAAGTAGTTAGACAGCCCCTGGATACTAATCTTAAATACTAAAGTAAAAACAATGGGGTTACAAGGAAGAAAATATTTATTTAAGCAGGGCGTTGGTGGCACATGCCTTTAATCCCAGCATTCGGGAGGCAGAGGCCAGAGGCAGGAAGATCTCTGTGAGTTTGAGGCCAGTCTGGTCTCCAGATCGAATGCCAGGATAGGCTCCAAAGCTAACCAGAGAAACCCTGTCTCGAAAAAGCAAAAAAAAAAAAAATATTTAAAAGTTATCACTATTATTAACTATTATTGTGTCTGTGCACTATGTGAAGGGGGAACACCCATGCCATGCATGTCGTGTGTGTGTGTGTGTGTGTGTGTGTGTGTGTGTGTGTGTGCATGCCATGGTGTGTGTGAGTGTGTGTGTGTGTATGTGTGTGTTCATGCCATGGTGTGTGTGTGTGTGTGTGTGTGTGTGTGTGTGTGTGTGTGTGGCGGTCAGAGGACAACTTTGTGGAGTTGGTTCTCTCATCCACCTTTACCTGAGTTTCAGGGGTCTAACTCAGGTGAGGTTTGTGTAGCAAGTGTTTTACCCACTGGAACATCTTGCCTTCCCCAAAAGATTTCTTTTCTTCACCCATGGTGATGCTCCCACAACTAAGGCCCAGTTGTTAAAGGAAAAGCTATTTGTTAACTAAAATGGGAGCTTTCAGAAATGAAGACGCACAGGCCCATGGAAAACTGGACCTTTGTGCTTAGACGCAACAGATGGACAGCTGTTGTGAGTATGAACGGACAGAGATGCAGTCTAACCAGAGTTAATAAACTGGGCGTGGTAGGTTTAGCAAGGCCTGTTTGTGTAGATTCCTTTTGGCTTCTAGGTATGAGACAGGTCACCTGTCACATGAGGGTATCATGACCTACATTTTCAGAGACACACAGAGGCTTTATTTATGGCCATGTTTCAGGAGAGGAAGGTTGGAGAAGATCAGAGAGAGAGAGAGAGAGACCGTGTTTCTAGGGTTTTCTCAATTTCCTTCAGCTGAAAGTTCTCAGCATGGCAATGGGTCATGTTTTGAGTGTCTTTACCTGTGCTTAATAAGAATCAAATCTAACTGGGCAGTGGCAGTGAACACCTTTAACCCCAGCACTTGGGAGACAGAGGCAGATGGATCTCTGAGTTTGAGACCATCCTGGTCTATAGAGTGAGTTCCAGGACAGCAGGGCTACACAGAGAAACCCTGTCTCAATAAACCTCTTTCTTTCTTTCTTTCTTTCTTTCTTTCTTTCTTTCTTTCTTTCTTTCTTTCTCCCTACCTGTCTTGATTGTAGTGGTAGCTGTATGACTGTATGCTTTATGCTTTTTAAATTAAAAACTAATCAATTATACTACACAATAAAAAGATTAAAACCTCCCAAAAGGTGACTTGTCTTTAAGATGGCCACACCATGCTTTTGGGTACGTGTTTTTCTTTGGAGGATTTCTCTTTCCTGCTTAAGGCTATGTTACAAGGTCTCATTAAACCTCACTTTCACGTCATTAAAAAAAGTAGTATCCCAACTATAAAGGTAAATGACTGAAATCAAACCTTGGGCTGCACTTCATTTTAAAAATATTTATTATTTATTACTATGTATATGTGTTTTTGATGTGGGGACACTTGTGTGGCTTTTGGAGGACAACCTCGTGGGGATGGTTCTCTCCTTCCACTTTTATGTGAGTCTTGGGAATCGAACTCAGTTCTCCATGCTTGTGTAACAAGCACCTTTACCCACTGAGCCTTCTCACCAGCCCAGTGAGCTATACCTTAATTAAAACAAATAAAGTGGCTTGGCTGTTGGAAATTAGGTCAGCCACCAGCCCCAACTTTATGACCATTGCATTGTGTGAGTTCTCCCCCCATGTACAACTTGCCGGTTCCTGAGGTGTCATGGGAGGAAATGGAGCATTTCAGAGGCAGGAAGTCACAAGAGATATGTGATGAAAATCTATCTTCTGTTTCAAGATGTGGTGAAACCCCCGCTGCCTCCCATCCCCAGGTGTCAGTCAGGAAACTCACTTATGAGTAAAACCAGAACCCTGTGATTGGCTAGTGACTGGGCAAGCAGCAACATCCCCCTGAATTAGCTCAACACCGACTCTGACTCAAACCTTTGCAGTCTCCTGTCTTTTCCTGGTGTCTTGGGATTTCTTAAAAGATTTGTTCATTTTTCTTTGAATTGCATTAGTGCTTGCCTGTATGCATGTGTCTCATGCCCTTGGGTACACATTTGTGTGCCTCTTGCTCTTGGAGGCTGAAAGGAGGGTTGGAGTCTCTGGAATTGGAGTTACTGAGCCACCATGTGGGTGTTGGGAATTGAACCCAGGTCCTTTGTGAGAGCCACAAGTGTTCTTTCCTGCTAAGCCACCTCTCCCACTTCCTGGTGTCTTGGTTTTGATCACCTCAAGAAACAGACACCAATATATGAATTTGATTGCAAAATTTTGGGTAGCTGCCAGGGACATGGCACAGTAGATAGAAGCATTTGCCTGGTGACCAGAGTTTGATTTCCAGAACTCACATACAAAGCTGATGACAGTGGCCTGCATCTGCAATCCCAGCATTCCTATGAGAGACAGGGGAATCAGCCAGAAGTTTGAGGGCTGACTAGCTTGCAGAAGCTCAGGGCCAGCTAGCCTCATGCACTTGGTGGGGCAGAAACGAGAGAGCCTCCTTTAGCAACGTGGAAGGTGAGAACTGACCACTGAAAGTTGTCCTATGATCTCCACACAGCATGGTGTCATGGCTCATGCACACCTGTACCCATATAACACATACACAAAAATAACTTCAATAAGATTTATTTACTTTATTTTATGTGTATGAATGTTTTGCCTGCATATATCTATATACACCATAAGTGTGCAGTGCCCACAGAAGCCAGAAGAGGGCATCAGATCTCCCCCAGGACTGGAGTTACAGTTATAGAATGCTTGTGAGCCAGCATGTGGGTGCTGGGAACCAAACCTGAGTCTCCCACAAGAGCAACATGTGCTCTTAGCCACTGAGCAATCCTACCAAGCCCTATAAATAAATTGTGAGGAAGTAATAGAGGAAAGGGAATGAGACAATAAAAGGCAGTTTTCAGGCCAGAGATCAGAGTTATTTATACAGAGGAGCCAAGGAACTAAGGTGCTCACTGAAGATCTTCCTGGTCCTCATGGGTTGAGGCTTACTTCTGGTTACTTGAAAACTCCAGCACACAGTTTGGGTTGCTTCAGGGTTTAGCATCCTGTCTGGCCAGATAAAACCCCACAGGTGGAGTTGTAGGTATTAACAAAGCACAGTACTTCCATGCAGGGATACCACCCGCAGATCTGATCACCACAACATCTGCCAGACCTGGTTAAAATCCCTGACAACACCCTAGTTTCCCCAGATTTACTTAGTGATGAAGGGACCTCTTTTAATAACCTCTTGGGCCATAAGGGATGCCGACTGACTGTATTTCCTTCTTGCTCAGCGTCTTCTCTTTGTGTCCCTTGTTTTTTGGTTTTTGGTCTCTGCAGCACTGAAGGGGTCAAGAGAGGAAAGGTTAGGCTTACAAAAGGTTTTTTTTTTTTTTTTGCTGCATTACAACTTTATCTTAGTATTCTCTGGATAGGCAGGTGACCAATTGTGTGATCATTTACTTGAGGAATATTTGGAGGCAGCTTCATGAAGTCTGACATTTCTGAGTGTGGTGATTTGAAAAAAAAATCCCCCCTCATCTCATGGGCTCAGACGTTTGAGTGTGGGCTCTCCAGTTTGGAGGTGCCATTTGGGGAGGATTAGACGTGGCCTACCTTGATGAAGTACATCCTGAAAGTAGGTTTTGAAGTTTCAAAGCCACACATCATTTTCAGTCGCCTCTTTCTGCTTCCTGCTTGCAGTTCCTGTATCCTGACTGACTCTAATTGCTATGATTCTCTGCCATGATATAACCGTATAAAAACCCAAATAAACTCTTCTATAAGTTGCCTTGCTCATGTTATTTTATCACAGCATTAAAAAAAGTAACTATTACACCTCTCTTCTCCAAGGTATCTCATATGTAAAGCAAATATCACCAAAGCTCCGAAAGTCAGAGGCTAAAAAATGCTTACGGTCCAAAAGGGGACTGTGCAGTAACAAAGGACTGCCACCAGAGGGCAGGATAGACTTTGCAGAAACCGTGAGAGGGAAAAGGGGCACCCTAGAAGCTGTGGGCTACATGCAAATTTCACTAACGTTTTCCCTCGCTTACTTCCTAAAACCCACCCAGCCCGAGGTCTTCGCTTTCGCCCTGCGTTCTGCCCTCTGTACTTGCCATTGATCAGAATTGACTCCCGCCCAGAGGAAGGCTGCGGCATTTCCCGAGGATCCCCAGACCTAAGGTGGCTGACTGGGGAAGAGCTGGGAGGATGCTGGGGCGGCAAGGATGGGGGAAGCACGGAAGAGCGTACCTATTGGAGGAGAGGGAAGGGGTTGTAGGAACAGCATGCGAGGTGCGCTGGGGGAAAGTGAACACAGAGACAGAGTTCCTCGAGGGTGAGCTGACTTCGAGCTTCCTCTCTGGGATGAGTCTATCATTCTTCGCTGAAGAAGTTTCCTGGGAAACACTGCTGTAAGGGAATTCTCTCGTTGCTCATCTTAAAAGGGTTCCGAAATGGCACACTTCGGGCCTTCAAGTCCTGTACCCTTCAAGGGAGTCAGGGCAGGAACCATTTACCAACCGGGTCTTTTGCAATGAGCAAAAAGCTCCAT